TTATGACCCGTGATTCAAGTCCTACTACTAGTGTGTTCCCTTATAGAGTATAACACAAAGAGAAGCGGGGGTCCAGGGGGCGGCAGCCCCCTGGTTTGTTGTGTATATCCCTCAACACCACAAATGTTCAAAATCTTCTCCAAATCCTTCTCTCGCTGCTGTGCTAAAGTACCTCCAACCTGTTGGTTGATATCTGGGCTGCTAGCTCTGTGGGCTGCTTGACCTCTGAATAGGACTTCGCGCGACGCCCAAGAATTTGACGGCTGACAACGGCGTGGTCCCTTTAAGGTCCAAGAATTTGAAAGCTCAGCAAGCAGATAAGCCAGAAGTTTGAGGCCATCCATTGCACACTGATCTTGGTAGTCTTCCTTGATCGCGTCTTGTGGCACGGTGGCGGTGATATAATTGTAGATGCAGTGAGACGCTGCCTCAATGAGAGGGGGGCAGCGAGACTTGGATGCCTTTTGGCAGCGTCGTGTGATCTAGGTCATCCAACTTCTTAGTATTGTAGTCTGCTTGGACAAATAGATCGCGCACATAGACCATAGGGGCTTAGTATTGAGCTGGGTGGAGGTATTGAGCTGAGTGGAGGTCTTGACTGGGTGGAGGTCTTGAGCTGGGTGGAGGTATTGAGCTGGGTGAGCTGGGTGGAGGTATTGAGCTGGGTGGAGGTATTGAGCTGGGTGGGAGGTGTTGAGCTGGGCGGAGGTATTGAACTGGGTGGAGGATTGAGTTACAGTTCCGGACGGGCATTAAGAACCCCCCCCCCATTAAGAACCTGAGGCTTACATTTTGGCGGATTGTCGCCAATCTAGCTAAGAACCTGAGCCTGGGCTAAGGCTAGGTCGGACACCCATCTCGAACCCACGACCCGGTACAGCACACGCTGATGCGCATCTACAGCACACGCTGATGCGCAGCGCGTGCGTAGGCAGGACTACCCTGTCCTGGCCTATCGGCCTATCTATCCTACACAGCCTCCAGCAAGACCCACGCGTTGGGCACCTCGTTGTGCCCGTAGTCGTCGAGAGAGAGCACGTGCAACGGTCGTATGACCCCCCCCCCCCCCCCCTAAGAACCTGAGGCTCGCGTGCCGGCCTGCCTTCGACATAGCTAAGAACCTGAGCCTGGGCTACGAGCGCCGCAGTTCTTAATGCCCGTCCGGAACTGTACTCGAGTATCGTTCTAGCACCCGATGTGGCAGTCGAGCAACTCCCTCTCGAAGGCGTTGCCAGCGGTGCCGCAGCGGGCCGATTTGCCCCCTTCGCGCGCCTCGCGATCGCAATACGAGTGGCACACATCGCACACGGCATTTTTCCACTGGTCCAAAACAGAGTCGACGGAACACACCAAATCCATCACGGACTTGACTAGGCCTTCGCCACGTTTGTCGCAGGTAGGAAGCTGGCGAACCTCATGCTGCAACTTGCGAATGACGTCCTTCATTTTGTTCTTCCCGTCTGTCACGCAAGGCCCAAGGTTCCACAAATCACACGTCTTGTGAGGCTCGATGAGAGCTGCAAGCGCGACATAGACACCCGCTTCGATCGCCTCATCCACAATCGAATCGACGAACAGCTGGCAGACAAATCGCCCCTCGTTCACGTTGACAAAGTTGGACGTAGCTGCCGAGACGTAGCCGGAGTAGTGGACGCAGGGATGCCCCTCCCACGCGGTCTCGCCGTCCATGCAGTGGCGGTGCTCCTCCACCTTGAAGACGGAGATGCCCCACGCTTGGTCGGCCTGTTGGTCAGAGCTGCACGTCGACGTCGGCTCGAGCAACGCGATGTTCTTGTGATCCCACGCGCTCGAGACCAGCGCGTCCGCCTCTGCTGCGTCGCCCTCGATGGTCTTCGCGAGGTGGTGCGGGAAGTCGGTGAACTTGACCGCCGCCTGCGGGTAGTAGTTGAACTCGATGTCGGCCATGAAGTGCGCCGCCGTATCGCCCTCCGTCTCGCTCGCCTCGACGTCGCGCTCCTTCATCACGACATTGAGATTCGAACAGAAGCCAGAAGTGGCAATCAGCCAGGCGGGGTCGTCGACCACGTCGGGCACGGGAGGGTTGGGCTTGGGCGCAAATGTGGTGCTGCGAGCGGTCGGGTTGATGTCGTGGACGGTTTCCGCCTGCGCACGCCGGTCTGCGCGTGTGAGGCTCAGCCTGCCTGAGTGAGTGATTGTGGTGGGGCGGAGCACCGGCAGGGCAGACGCCGGCAGCGCGACCAGAAGCGGGGCCAACTTCAGCAGCATGGAAAGGGGGATAAGTCCGCCGGCCACGATTGGTGGAGCCGCCGATTTTGATTTAAAAAAGTTGCATGAATGCACCCAGCAGTCAGCACATCCCGTACAACTTAGCCTCTGTGGACCTTGCTGGGCAAGGTCCACTTCGGCTAAATTCACGCCCCAAACGCTACTATTTGCTCAGGCCAAGTCCAGACACACTAGAGGACTGCCTGAGCACACAGGGGCATGTACTACTTACTATATACACACCTACTATGCTGTTTTCACACCGATCATAATTACGCGATCGCGCACAGGTGCGTACGGGGTAGCCGCCACTTTCCTGCCTCACAAGGGCGGGGCTGTCCCGGAAAGTGAGAAACGCCGGGCAGCGTGGTGCACGACTTCAACCTCCCATACGTGTTTTGTTCCGCTTATTTATTCCTCGGGCTGTTCCATCCTTCCTCCCATCTCCTTCCCACCTAGGCGAGGCGGGGGCGCGCGCGGGTGCGGGGTGCGGTGCGGTGCGGGTGTGTGCGTGTCATGTGGCTACAGCGAGTGACCATCCGTCTGTATTGTTATTAACAACGAAGGCGCTCTCAAAAAGAAAGAAGTGTAGCTCAAAAAAAAAGAAAGGAGAAATCTGTTGTGTCCTCGGAGGATACGCGCCAGCCAGCGGAGTGAAACCACAGCAACTCTGGCGGGATGGACCTCGACAGGGCACTCGGCACCCTGGGAATCTCGTCCGCCGGCGCGCCTGTCGCGCCGGTCAAGGCGAACACGGACAAGCCTCCCGTCAAGGTGCTCACCAAGAAGCAAAAGGAGGCGCTCGCGGCAAAGGAGGCGGAGGAGAAGCGGCGGAAGAAGGCAGCCGCGCTGGCGGCGGGCGACAAGCCGAAGAAGAAGAAGGAGAAGCCCAAGCCGGCGGACGAGCCGGCGGACGCGGAGGCCTCCGCGTCCGCCGCCGCCGCCGGCGAGCAGGCTGCGGCTGCAGCGGCTGCTGCGAGCAAGGAGGAGGCTGCGGCGGCGGCCTCCAAGGAGGAAGCGCGGGCGGCGGCGGCGGCGGCGAGCAAGAAGGCCGCCGCCGCCGCCGCCGCGCGCGAGGCCGAGGCCAGCCGCGTCGCGATGCGCCAGCTGCTCTCCCGCCTGGTGTCGGGCTCGCACGAGGCTACGGCGCAGGCGGTGCGGGCGGCGGCGGCGGCGGGCAAGGGGGGCGCGGCGAGCGAGGAGAGCGGGTTCGAGCTGCCCGAGGCGCCCTCCGTCGAGGCGCTCGAGCGCTTCCTCGCCGAGGCGGCTAGCGCAGCCTCCGCCTCGGCGGCGACGGCGGCTGCCATCTACGTGAGCGCCTGCGCTTCGGGGCTCGGTCCGGTGCCGCTCCACGCGACACGAGCGGTGCCGCGGCTGATGAATGCGGCGCACGAGTCGGCCGAGGACCGCTCCGCGCCGCACGCCCGCGAGGCGGCCGTCCTCTGCCTTAACGGCGCGGCCGAGAGCGGCGGAGAGGCGCGAGAAGAGACGAGGCGAGGCGTCGCGCACTCCTCACCCCCGCTGCCCCTCCCTCCGCTCGCAGGCATGTCGGAGCGGCTCGGCTTCGCGTTCGAGCCGCTCGCGCTGCCGCAGCTGCCTCAGATCGTCGCCCTGGTCGGCGACCGCGACCGCAAGGTCGGCGAGGCCGCCGTGCGCACGCTCGAGACGGTCGTGTCGTGCCTCGACCCGCTCGCGGTGCCTGCGGCCATGCCGGCAGAGCCGCGAGCCTCGGGCGGCGTGGGAGCGGGAGGAGTCTTGTCCTGCAGCTCGCCCGGCGGCTTGTCGATAGGCGCTCTACCACGGGATGCGGACGGTCTCGTGGCACGTCAAGGAGGTTTGCTTGCGCACGGTGCTGCAGACCCCAGATGCGGAAACAGATGCTACCGGGTCACAGTACGGGTTCGGGACCTGTTCACATGCGGAGACGCTCACACCCGTCGAGGAGACTCCTCGCACCTCTTCAAGCCGTGTCCCGCTGCACTCGTGGCTCCCGCAGCCCCGCGAGGCGCAGCCTCAAGCCGCGTGCGTGCGCTCTCCAGGTTGGCCGCCTCGCCGCCCGCGCGCCGGGACCGCTCGGCGCCTGCATGCCGGAGTGCGTCCCCGCGGTGATCGAGTGCCTCAACGACTCGAACGCTAAGGTGCAGTCGGCGGCGTCCGAGGCGAGCCCACGAGACGAGACGAGACGAGACGGCGTCCGGTGCGAGTAACGAGCTGCTCCTCAGGTGATCCCGACACTTCCTAGACACTTCCTAGACACTTCCTAGACACCTCCTTGCTCCTCAGGTGATCCCGACCATGCTCTCCTGCGTCGACAACCCGGAGACGCAGTCGCTCAAGGCGATGATCGTGCGCGCGCTGCGAGAGCCGAGCTTCACTCTCGAGGCGGTGGACGAGATCCTGAGCCAGACCTTCGTCAACGCGATGGACGGTGCGACATCACCCGAGACCACCCGAGACGAGCCTCTGACAGCCAGACCTTCCGCCAAAGCGATGGACGCCTCCTCCGCTCGCCTCTCTCTGCTGCCTGTCCTGCTGCCTGCGGAAGGGACGGATGGGTGAAGGGAATGGTGGGTGAAGGGAATCGGTGGGTGGACTAGGCACCTCGCTCGCCTTTCTGATGCCCATCCTGCTGCGCGGACTCCGGTGCGTTCCCTGGCTCCGCCCCTCACGCGCCCCCGCCCCTCGCCCCATGACGTGGCCCTCACCCCCTCCCCGCAGGTCGGAGACGTACGAGCTCGTCAAGAAGGCAGCCACTTGCGCCGGAAACATGTGCGCGCCGCCCCCTTCCCACCCTCGCCCGCCCGCCGCCGCCGCCCCGCCAGCAGAGTGATGACCGATGTTGTCGCCCCAGTCCGAGCCTCTTTGGGGATGCGGATTGACCATTTTGCACGTCAGTCTGACTGCGGCCGCCGCCCCCTTCCGCCGCCCGCAACCCCGCGCGCTGCCCGCCACCAGAACGCCACGCCGCGCGAGACGCCCCCCGTGACGCCGCCCTCCGCCCTCCGTCCCCCGTGACTATATATGTGTATACGCCGCCCTCCGCCCTCCGCCCCGCCGCCCCTCAGGTGCGCCCTCATCGTCAACGGCGCCGAGCTCGCGCCCTTCCTTCCCGAGCTCAACCCGGCGCTCGAAATGGCGCTCGAGCACTCGTCGCCCGCCGTGCGCGCCGAGGCGGCCACGGCGCGCGACAAGCTGCTCGAGGGGGTTGGCGAGCTGCAGGCGTCCGCGCGAAAGGGCCGCGACGTCGTGAGCGAGCTGCTGCGCACGCGGCTCGCCGACGCGCTCGGCGCGGCGACCACGCCGCCCGAGGTTGCTGCTCACATGGGCTCGCTCGGCACGTCGCTGCTCGAGCGGCTCTTCGCGGGCAAGCTGTCGACTTCGCTGCTCGCCGAGGCGCCGCAGCGGCTCGCGGCGGAGCTCGTCCCCCTCGCCGTCGCAGTCGGCGCGACGAGCCTGGCCGAGAAGCTTCCTCCCGTCTGCGAGGCTGCGGTGGAGGCGTTCGTCGAGCAGCTGCCGCTCCGCGCCCAGCAGGTGCTCACCTCCTCCGACGGCAAGGACTACCTCGTCGACGTGCAGAACTGCATCCTCGCCTTTGCCGGCCGCGTCCTCCTCAAGAAGGCCGACATCCGCTTCCAGCGCGGCCACCGGTACGGCCTCATCGGCCAGAACGGCGTCGGCAAGACCACGCTGCTCAACCGGCTCTCGGCGGGCGACATCCGCGGCTTCCCGCCCGGCCTAAACGTGCACTACATCCGACACGAGGTGGTCTGCGAGGACGGCGTCGACGTCGTCGCCTTTTGCATGCAAAAGGCGACCGGCCATCCACTCACCCCGCCCTCCCCTCTCCGCCCCGGCCGTCCTCATCCCTCCCGCCCCTTCTCGCCTCGCCCCCGCCGCAGGCGCCCGCCGGGCTCGCGGACGCCGCTGTGCGCATCGAGGGCGTGCTCGCGGAGGTCGGCTTCACCGACGAGCTCCGCGCGAGCGAGGTCAACAACCTGTCCGGCGGCTGGAAGATGAAGCTCAGCGTCGCCATCTCGATTCTGCACGCGCCCGAGCTGCTGCTGCTCGACGAGCCGACCAACCACCTCGACCGCAAGGCGGTCGAGTGGCTCAAGTCGCACCTTCTCTCCCTCACCGGCGTGACGATGGCCATCGTCTCGCACGACTACGCCTTCATCGACGAGGTGTGCACCGACATCACCCACTACGACAACGGCGGACACGCCGGCAAGCCGTGCCGCTTCGTCTACTACCCGATGACATTCCGCCAGTTCCAGCAGCTCCGGCCCGAGATTGCGGCCGGCCTGCCCGCCAGCGGGAAGGCCACCGGCGCGGCGGACGACGGGACGGGGTACGTCGACCCGAGGACGGGCCTCGAGCTGTGAACAGCGTCTCTTCACACCTCTGGCTGTGAACAGGTACGTCGACCCGAGGACGGGCCGGCTCATCCCGTGGGGAGACGGCGCCGAGCCGTCCGACGAGGGCGGCTCGGAGAGCGGCACCGGCTCCGCCCTCTCCACCCTGTCCAACGTCGAGCAGCTCGTCGCGTCGGGCTCGATCCTGCCGATCCGCTTCCCCGACCCGGGCAAGCCGGAGGGGATCCGCACCTACCGCAAGCCGGTGATGACGATGAAGGACATCCACTTTACGTACGAGGGGAGCGAGCGCGCCATCATCACGTCCGCGAGCGTCACCGTGACGCTCGGCTCGCGCGTCGTCATGCTCGGCGCAAACGGCGCGGGCAAGACGACGCTACTCAAGCTGCTGATCGGCGACCTCGAGCCGACGGAGGGCGTGGGCGAGGTGTGGAAGCACCACAACCTGCGCCTCGCCTACATCGCGCAGCACTCGCTCCACCACCTCGAGGAGTACCTGCAGCAGACGCCGATCGCCTACATCCAGGAGCGCTTCCGGCAGGGCCTCGACGTCGAGCTGTCCAAGCTCAAGACGCTGGCCCTCACCGACGACGAGAAGGCGATCCGCGACCAGACGGGCGCCGTCAAGGACGTCGTCGGCCGGCAGAAGCGCGGCAAGCAGGTCTGGTACGAGGTGGTCAAGCCGGGCCGCAAGGGCGAGGCGACGCAGTGGTACCCCCTCGAGGAGATTGAGACCCAGTTCAAGCCGTGAGCCGCGCCCCTCCGCCCCGCACCCGGCTTGCCGCCGCCCTCCTGCACCCCTCCGACCCGCCGATGCCGCGACACGCCGACGAGCGGCGCCCTGCACCGCGCAGGTACGTGCTCAAGATGGTCAAAAACTACGACCTCAAGGTGCAGGCGCTCGAGTCCGGGCTCGCGGTGCGGCCGATCACCTCGGCCGAGATCCTCGAGCACCTCGACGACTTTGGGCTGGGCTCGGACCTCGCGCACGGCAAGATCAAGCAGCTCTCGGGCGGGCAGCGGCAGCGGCTCGTCATCTGCGCCGCCTTTTGGTCGAAGCCGCACCTCATCGCCCTCGACGAGCCGACCAACTACCTCGACAACGACACGCTCGCCGCGCTCACGCAGGCGCTCAAGGGCTTCAAGGGCGCCGTCGTCACCGTCTCGCACAACGAGGATTTTGTCAAGGAGATCTCCAACGAGCGGTGGGTCGTCGCGGGTGGCAGCGTCACCGTCGAACAGCTTCGCGACGCAAAGGCGCGCTGAGGGGCGCGGGTGTGCCAGTGCGGCCCCCGCTGTGTGAGGCGGAGTCTCTCGTCGTTTGATATATAACGCGGAAATGTGCACCTCCCCAACGCCAGAGCACCGCGCACACGGACACCACTCCAGTTCATAAGCCCCCGCCGCCGGCCGCGCGCGGCGCGCCGGCGCCACGGCCACGCGCCACGGGCACCCGGCCACGCCCTCGCGCCTCGGACGGTTTTCTCGGGGTCTTGCAGTCGGTGTCCGGTGTGACGCTGACGGGGCTCGGGGGGTCTTGGAAGCGCTCCCCTCAGCCCCTTGGAAGCTCCCCTCAGCCGGCGCGGTGCGCAAAACGCGATCAGAGCGGCTGATCCTCGCGCGATCGAATCGTGCGAGCTCACCCCCGACCCTCCTCACAGACTGACCTCACGGCAGCGCGCCCTCTCGAGACGAGAAACCACGAAGGCCGTACCTCCCCGTACGGCTGACCGTGTATGGCCGACGGGGCTCAACCCATGCAAGTCGTTGCCCCACGGGCGCAGCGCTCTGCCTCTTCGGGCCTCAGCGCAGGCCGGGCAGCTGCCGGGGCAGGAAGCGCGACCGCTTCGAGGGCGGCTTGTCCTGTGCGGCAAGGGGCGGCCGAGGGGGTTCCTGGAGAGAGCGGCGGGTTCTTGGAGAGAGCCTGTGGGGGCTGCCCGGCGCCCAGCGAAAAGGGAGGGCGGTGGGCATGCCGGCGCCGCGCCTTTGTGGTGGAGGGGCCCTCGCAGAAAGTGACGACGAGCTTGCGCCGCGCGCGCGTGCAGGCGACGTAGGCGAGGCGGCGCTCCTCCTCGAAGTGCTGCACGTACTCCATCGAGTGTGGCTCGAGCCGGGGGAGGAGCGGCAGCGAGCCCTCCTCCAGATGGCAGGCAAAGACAAGGTCCCACTCCATGCCCTTTGCCTGGTGGATCGTCGTGACAACCACGGGCGGGGCGTGGCCCGAGGGAGCGGCCTGCCCCTGCCCCTGCCCGGGGGCCGTCATCGGGTCGTACAGCGCCAGGTTCATGTCATCGATGAATTTCTTGAGACGCTCGAGGGCGGGCACGACGCGGCCCGCGCCTCCCCCGCGCCCGGGCGCAGAGGCGGCGCTGCCGACCTGCTCGGCGGTGCGGAGGAAACGCGAGAGCTGCAGACTGACGGCGCGGCGCGTGCTTGACGCGGCGCTCTCGCCGTCGTCGCTCGACTCGTCTGAGCCGGCGTGCGCCCCCGCGGCGCGGTGCGACGTCGACGACGCCACCGTGAAGGCGGCGCGCTGCGACGCGCGGGTGACTCGTTCCTTCTCGAGCATCGCCTCGAGGCCGATCCGCCGCGCGTGCGCCTCGAGGAGGACGTCGATCGGCGGCGCGTCGGCGGCGAGGGCCGCCACCCGCAGCGCCTGCGAGGACACACAGAGGGGGATGTCGCGAGCTGGGCCGCGTGGGGCAGGAGCCCACAGCCCCCCCCACCTCGTAGTCTTGGAGGAAGCTCGAGAGTGCCTCTTGCTGCGGCCTCGAGAGGCGGCTCGGGCCGGCCGGCGGCCAGCCCTTGCGCGCCGCGTGGATCGCTGCGACGAGGAGGCAGACGCTGCGCTGGCCGTTCGACTTGGACGCGGCGAGCGAGCGCAGGTACCGGATGCCAGGGGACGCCTCGCCGCCTCCGAAGCCGGCGCGGCTCGGCGCCGCCACGCACGCCAGGAAGGAGAGGTCGTCCTTGGGCTCGACGACCAGCCGCAGCCACGCGAGAGAGACGGTCGCGGCGGTGCTTCCGCCGCCGTCGCCGCCGACGCCGCCGCCACCGTCCTCCCCCTTCTCGGCTTGCACGCACGCCACGCCGTACTCCTTGAGCGCGCGCCGCAGCGCCAGGCAGTCGACGCGAAGCCGGCAGAGCAGCGCGATGGAGTGCGTGGCCTCTCGCCCGCCCTCTGACCTCTCCTGCGTGGCCAGCACCTCGCGGCAAATCGCCTCAATCTCAGCCTGCCGGTCGACCTTTTGGATCACCATGACCTCGCCGGCGGCCGCGCGCGGGGCGGAGAGCAGCGGGAGATGCTCTCGCAGAGGCGAGCCCTCGATGAGGCTCTTGGCGAGGTTGAGAATGGAGGACGCGCAGCGGTAGTTGGTGGGAAGGATGAGCGGCATACACCCAAACGCGGCAGTCAGACGGGTAAGCATGTCGGGTTGAGAGCCGCGAAAGCCGTAAATCGACTGGTCGGCGTCGCCCACACAAGTGACCACGGTGGAGCTGCGCGGGGCCAGCCGCTGCAGAAAGGCGAGTTGCGATCCAGAGGTGTCCTGCGCCTCGTCAAGCAAGACATGAAGGTAGTTGCCATTCGGCATCGCGCACGCGCCCGCATCGATCGCCTCGGTCGCCATCGGCACCATGTCGTCAAAGTCGATGAGGCCCTTGGCGGCCAGAGCACAGTTGTACGCTCTGAGGATATCTCTCTCCTCGGCGCTCAGCGCGCCGCCGCTGCCTGCCTTGGCCTTGGCAACAACCGCGAGGGCGGCGCGGACGGCACTGCGCGACTGCTGCCGCCCGTCTCCCGGGCTCTCGTTGAGCAGTCCGAGGTCGAGAAGCACAGCCTTCATCTCCTTGCGCGCGACTCGCGGCTCCATGACCGTGGACGTGCAGCCGGCCTGGCGGAGGCAGGCGAGCGCGCGTGCGTGGTAGGTGTTGACCGCCGGAAGTTCCGCAGGCGGTGGGACTGCACGCTCGATCTTGCTCAGCAGATCGGCGCGACTCTTGGTGGAGAAGGTGAGGACAAGCACGCGGCTTGCCGGCATCCCAGCGTCGAGCAAGGACTTGACCCGCAGAGCTAGCGTAGTGGATTTGCCAGAGCCGGCGCAGGCGCAGACGAGGAGGCTGCGCTCGGACGGGAAGTCCACGACGCACCGCTGGAACTGGTCGATGGCAGGTGTAGACGAAGACGACATTTTGGCCGTCTCCTCTGCCGGGAACGGCGCCTGAAGTTAAGGTCATTCACGGGTGTCCGCGGCCCACTGTTTCCGCTGGTAGGACAGTGATCGCCGCAAACCCTGTGGTCAGCTCCATATGATCTCGGATATTTTTTGTAGGCACCGTAACACCAAAAAACTACTATGTCTTCGAGTGAAAAGTAATCCGAGCAAGCACGCGGCCGGTGCGTCCAGCCGTCTCGCCCACCCTTGCGCCTTGGGCGTCTGCCCTCTTCCACTTCCTATCTCTCTTCGCAGTCCCTCGCCGATTCTCGCAGCAACCTTCATGCCACCACGCGGTCGTCCCACCCTCGTCGTTCTCGCTCCTGCCCCCCGGTCGTCCTCTGCCACCAGTCTGCCTCATCGCTCTTTTAATAATCGCTATCCTCATTCTGCGGCGACGCCGACGCCTTTCGACCGAGCCAGTGCTCTCGCGGCTTCTCTCACCTTTCGGCGCAACTCCGCTCTCCTCGCAGCGTATCTCGGGTCATCCAGATTCCAGTTTGCAAAACAACGACCTCTCTTTAATTGTGTCGAGCTCTCCTGGAGGAGGTTGGAACCATTCTTCTGACTCCCACTCCGATCATGTGCCGCCAATACCTGTCGTTGCTCAGGTCCACTCCCCCCCCTCCCCCCCGTTTCGCTGTATTAATTAATTCTTTCCGTCTTCCTCTTGTCTGGCCAGCGCGAATTCTTTTTACTCTCGTGAGCTGTGAACAGACGCACTTGCCCAAATCCGCTAGGTTGGGCGTAATAAATAAATAAATACAACGGACATCCCAAGCTAGGGCTGGGTCGAGGACAGACACGTCCCCACCTTTGCTTTGCAAAAGCGAGGGGGGAGGGCGCATCGCCGCGCGGAGAGGGCTGGGAACAGGGCATAGGTTGGGCGTGCTTTCACAGCCACCCGGCGGGAGAATTCTTTTTTCGGACGAAATTCTTTTGCCATGGCCCGATCGGACCTCTCCGCGGCGCCGCGGCTGGTCGACAAGGCGACGCGCGAGTGCGGCCAGGCTGGCTCGGGCGAGAGCGCTTGGGTCGCGCTGAAGGACTTTGCGCGCTGCTCGGACGCCCATCTCCTCGCGATCGCCGGCGCGGTGTGGGAGCACCTCGGCGCCCCGCACTCGCAGGCTCGCTGGCAGGCGCTCGAGCTGTGCGCGCGGCTCTGGCCTCGCTCCGCCGCCTTCCGGCACGCGCTGATGCGCGACATCCCCACCTTTGTCCAGCTCGTGTGCGCCATCGCGCCAGCCGCATCTGCTGGACGCGCCGCCGCTGCCCGTGGCGGGCTGCCACCGCCCGAGCACTGGGCGAAGCAGCTGCATCGGCGCGGCGTCGAGCTGATCGAGAGGTGGCACGCGTCGCACGGGCACCTTCCCGAGTACCGCCAGCTCGACCTCGCTCGCCGGCGCGTCTGCACCAGCGCTGCCTCCGCGTCGGCGTCTCTGGACGACGGCCCTCAGGCGCAGCGGTGGGCAGAGCAGTGGCAGCAGCTGCGGGACGGAGGGGCGGAGGCGAGCCTCGCCGAGGCGGCGGCGGCCGTCGTGCAGCTCGGCACGTGCGTCCAGATCATGGCACCGGTGATGGACGAGGCGGACGGGGCGGACGAGGCTGCGGCAGCGGCTAGCGGCGCGAGAGGAGGCGCGAGAGGAGAGGCGGCGGCTGCGGCGGCAGGGCAGGCGGCGGCAGCGGCGGGAGAGGCTGCGGCGGCGGCGCGGCGGCCTCGCCAGGGCGGAGCGACGGGCGAGGAGATTGCTGGCGGGGCGGCGGCGGCGGGACTTGAGGCCGCGGCGGAGGAGATGGAGGAGGAGGGAGAGGAGGAGAGAGAGGAGACGGAGGAGGAGACAGAAGAGGAGGAGGAGGAGGAGGAGGAGGAGGAGGCCGCTAATCTGGCCGGCGCACCTCGCATGCACGCACTCGGCGCGGGCGCCGTGCAGATCGACCTGCGCCAGCCGGAGCAGCGCAGCGAGGAGGAGCGGGCAGCCCTCGGGGAGGCGCTGCAGGGTGCTTGCCGAGAGGTGTGTGCTGCGCACTTTCGAGAGACACTTCCTGGACACTTCCTGGCTGCCTGCCGTGTGCTGCGACCCACCGAGGGCCTTCTGCCGCCATCTAGTCAGGCATCAGCCCAGCCCCTCCCCTGGCGCGCTTCCTCAGCGCGCGCTTCCCTTCGGCACCAGGCGCGCCTCCGCCTCCTCCCGAAGCTTCGCGCGCACCTCGCCGCCCTCGCGCACGCCCCGCTCGACGACGACTTGCAGAGCCACGAGCGGCGCGTCACTCGCGGCTGCGAGCCGAGACTGGCCGGGTTGGCCGAGACAGCGGGATGGTCCGTGGTGTAGGCGCGTACACACGCGGCTGCTGCGGCGCGTCACGGCGGCGCGTTCGGCGCTGCTCGAGGTGCCGCATCACCCCCCCCCCCACACACACACACACCTCCTCTCCTCGCACAGCCGTTCCCGCACAACCCTTCCCCCACACCCCTCCCTCGCAGCCCCGTCCCCGACACCCGTCCCCTCGCAACCCCTCCCCCACCCCCCTCCCTCGCACACCGCACGCCCTCTCGCTCTGCCGCCCCGCCCCGCCAGCAGGCTCTCCAGCCAGCAGAGCTGCTTCTCCCCGACGGCGCCACCCGCACGCAAGAGGGGGAGGCAGCCCAGGGGGAGGGGGAGACCGACTCCGATTCCGACTTTGAGGACGTGCCCCTGCTGCCGGCGCATAGCCTCGCGCGGACTGCCGCCGCCTCCGACACGCCCGCCGCCGCCGCCGAGCGGGCGGTGCGATCGCCGCGTTCGGCTGCGAGGGCTGCCGCAGCGTTGATGGGCGCGAGCGCGGGTGCCGCCGCCGGAGCGAACGACGGGACGGTGCTCAGAGCGCTGCTGCGACGCCCCGCACACCTCCTCTGCTATCACGAGCAATGCGGTGCGGCTCTGTAGGCGCTCTGTGGCGCGCCGCGCCGCGACGGAAGCTTGTGTCGCGTGGCCGTGCCGCCGGGCGGCGTGTGCCCGTTCCACGGCGAGCGGTGCGAGCGCGACGATGACGGCATCCCCTTGCACGACGAGTGGCGGCAAGGAGGGGAGCGGCCACCCGAGGCTCCGGCCGCAGAGGGGCAGGCGGCGCCAGCGCCAGCGCCAGCCCGCGGAGAGGTGTCGCCTCCTCCCCCGCGTGCGAAGCGATCCCGCCCTCGCCGCTCCGCCGCGGCCAGGGGCGGGCTGGAGGAGGTGGAGAGGCCTCGCTCGCATCCGCAGCTCCACGCGAGGCTCGCTCGGAAGCGGCCGGGCGGCGCGGAGCGGCGTGCGGAGGCGGCGCGCGACGCGAATGCCGCCACACGGGCGCGGTTCAATAACTTATGGTGAGATGTGCGTCCTTCGTGTGCTGTGACACTCGTTCTTTTTGTCTGCTTCCTACAATAACATGCACATAAACACGTCGTAAAACTCTCGCCACTCAGTCCTCTCGCCGCGTTTCTCTAGACTCTGTTCATCTACCTATTGCGGGGCCCTCTGGGGCGGTCAAAACCGGACCTACCTACCTATTGCATCGGGTCTAACCGTGGGCGCAGACCCCCTATCTGGGTATAGGAGCCGAACCCGGGCCGAGTGCCAGAGGTGGTCGTGTCACCGACTCGTTCCGGAGCTGCGTGGAGCCGACGGATGCTCCGGCGACGCTCCTCGCTCACCCTGTCCCGGCAGCTCTCCACCTCCGCCCACGACGCCGCTCGACGACTGCTCGGCGTTGCGGCGGATGCCTCCCCAGAGGACCTCAAGGCGGCGTACCGAGCAAAGGCGCTCGCGCATCATCCCGACCGCCACTTGGGTGAGGAGCGCGCACGCGCGGAGCGGCGCTTTAAAGAGGTCGGAGAGGCTTACGTGAGGCTCTCGGGCGCCACGAGGAGGCGTGCAGAGGACCTCTCCCCAGCGGAGGCCGAGGTGCGCACTTGAGCATCTTCGGTCGCTCTCTTCGCGCCTCACCCCGCTCGACTCTCTCGCCCCGGCAGCGGATCGATCGTCCGCGTCCCGCCTGTCAGGAACTGTTCATTGAGATCCTGCGCGCCGGCGGCGACGCGGCGTGGCAACTCCCCGAGGGCACAGGGAGCCTGGGCCAGTCGTCTCATCCTTGCCTTGGAGTTGGCGCGTATAGGGGCTCGCGTGGCGCGTGCCGGGGAGGAGCCGGCCGCGCGACGCCGAGGCGGCACCGCGCTGGCAGCAGTACCAGTCGGCGCTGCTCGAGTCTGGCGGCGTCGCGATCTGGGGAGCAGAGACGCGCGCCCTCTACCGCGCCTGCCTGCGCGCGCTGCGAGGCGCCGACGAGGGGACAGCGGCGGCCGTGCGGCAGCACGCGCGCGCCAACATCGCGCAGCATGCGGGCGCGGGAGGGGATGGCGCTGTCGGGAGCGGCAGGTTTGTGATGGGCTGTGTTGCAATTAGGCGAGACCGACGGACGCACTTTGCGCGGGCTCGTCGGCCGGCGGGAGAGGCGGCGGTCTGTGGCGCTCCTTTGAGCACGAGCCCGACGGTGGTGCACTGTGTAGGTTGCTCGTCGGCGGGAGGCATGACCTCGAGGAGCTCTGCCGCTGCCTCGGCTCGGCGCTCGGCGAGGAGACGAGAGGGGAGGGGTGATCTCAGTAGAGAGCCTTAGAGCGCCGGTCCCGTCTTGGGTCTGCGGCTCCACGCACCGTAACACGTTGCTGTACTGGGACACGCGGTACGTTCGAGTGTCGTGTGCGTGTGTCTCGCCCCCCCGAGTCGGGCGAGTGCGCGCCTGGGGGGAGTTGGGAGAGCGTAGGCTCTGAGTACTGAGAGGTGAGAGATCAGAGAACAGCCGCGCCGCGCATGTGCCATGTCGCGCGACGGAGCGGAGAAAAAAAAGCCGCTGTATTCACGAATATCCGCGACAGACCAATAGAGTGGCTCTCTCTGACTCTCTTGCGTCAGAACTCAACTTGCACGCTGGCCACTGCTCGATCCTCGCGCGGGGCGGGGCGGCCACATCATCTCTTCGTCATGCACTCGACGTCACTGTATGCTCTCCATGCAACCACACTCTTCACACACGCCTCTTTCCTCCGCGAGCCTCCCCACGAGCGCTCCTTCGCCGGAGTCGGAGCCCGAGTACACTGCGGCACCGCGCACCGATCCGCCCCCCCTCCCTCCACATGCCATGCCATGGCTCCTCCTCAGCACGCGGGGCTGAGAGCCCCCCCCAACCGCTGCCCACCAAAGCACATGCACCGCCCCGTCGACACCGCGCCGGCCTCGGAGCGGCGCCCCGGTCAGGGCGCAGCTGCGCCTCAGATCCACGGTGCTGCGCCTCAGATCCACGCCTCAGATTCATGACTCAGATCCATGACGGGTAGATGGAGGCGACGCCAGACGAGGCGCGCGACACCGAGGGAGGCGGAGACTGCTTCTCGCCCGTCGACCTCCGCTGCTGAGACGCGGCGCCGCCAGCCACGGCGCCGCCAGCCACGGCGACGACGCGCTCGTCGCTCGCCGCCATGCGCGCGCGCTCCAGCTTGTGGTACGACGCGAGCCGGTGCCGCTGGCAGCAGTACGGCCGGTCGTTGAGCATGAAGACGGGCCCGTCGATCCGGCAGGAGCACTCGGAGCAGAGCACGCAGCTGGCGCCGTCGGAGAGCGCGCTGGCGGGGGCGGAGCCTCGCCAGACGGCGGCGGCGTCGCAGGGGCCGGCGCTCGAGGGGCGCGGCGGCGCTCGATGCGGGAGCGGCGCCTGCAGAGAGAGGGGCGGCGCGTGAGCAAAGGGGCGGCGCGAGAGCAGTGGCCGGCGGCGCGGGAGGCGGCGCGCCGTGAGAGACGGCGGCGGCGGCTCGGAGAGGGCGGTGCCCGCCGCCTTTGCGGTGTTGGACGTCTCTTCGTTGGCCCTGCCCCCGCAGCCCTCGTCCCCGCCCGGTGCAGTCTGCGCCGTGTCTGCGGCCGGCGGCTCGGCCCGCGTCGGCTCTCTGGGCGGCGCCGGGCTCGTCTCGGCGTCGTGGAGAGAGGAGGTAGCGGTGGCGCTCTCGAAGGCCTCGACCAGCCGCGCATTCGCGCCGCCGGCCTTGCGCGTCCCGCCCAGCCCTCCGCTCGAGGAGGAGGAGGAGGAGCCTCCGCCCGGGCTGCCGGAGCCGCTCTCAATTCTCGACGCGTGCCGGCTCGTGGCGGCGAGGGAGAGGTCAGAGCCGCCAGGCCTGGGGCCGAGGCCGAGGCCACCGAGCGAGGCGCTGCGCTGCAGCTCGTCGCTCGCCTTGCCGGACTTGTCGATCCACTTGGTGAGCAGCGAGCGCAGTTTGCCCTGCGAGGACGTCTTTTTGAGCACGATGCCGAGCAGAAGGCTCTGCCAAAAGTTCTGCTGGGTGGTGCCGCCGTGCGAGACGACGTGCAGGTCCGCGTGCAGGTCCGTCAGCGACCCCGTCGAGTTGCCGCCGCGGCCCATGGGGACCTTGGCGAAGACAGGTTTGCCGTCAGCGTCCCCGCGTGTCGTCAATTCCTTCGATTTTAGCTTCGAAACGTTCTCCAAGTTTTGATCTCCGGGTCTTTAGCCTTCTCGGGTCGATTTTTCTGAGCACTGGGGTCGATACCGCATCGTAAGTTAACAATGTGGCCTGCCCTGTTCACGCGCGCGCGAGACGTGCAGACAGGGTTGCCAGGGTGAGAGCGAATGGCGCGGTTCACGCCTCGCACAACAGAGAGAGAGAGATGCGCTCTGCATGGTGGGGACATAAACGGAGAGCGAGTACTTGGGCGAGTAGGCCGTGCGGTCAACGCTGCCGCGCGCGACTTTGCGCGCGAGGCGGCGCAGCTTGAGAACGGCGGTGGGCGAGGAGCCGCCGCCGTCTCGTGGAGCAGCAGGTTGAAGTTGTTGTTTGTTTTGTTTGCCCCTTGTGCCTTGAGCGCTGGTCCGAGCCCTCCGTCCGTTCAGCTTCGCCACACACCGCGCACACAAAACGGACCACCGATTGATCTTTGTGATTGTGCAGAGATTTTGGCAATACCATTATGTGATGTTACAGGTGGGTAAGAGGTTGTTTTTGAGATGCGCGCGAGCTGCGGGACCGCCGGGACGGCAATACCAAAAACAACTAACACTCACACACATCATTTGGGGCAGAGCCTGGGCCCTGTTCACGCGCGAGAGAGAGAGTTGTTGTTTGTGTCACGCGCGCGCGAGACGTGCAGACAGGGTTGCCAGGGTGAGAGAGCGAATGGCGCGGTTCACGCCTCGCACAACAGAGAGAGAGATGCGCTCTGCATGGCCTGGGACATAAAAGAGAGCGAGTACTTGGGCGAGAGTAGGCCCGTGCGGTCAAAACGCGCTCGCTGCCGCGCGCGACTTTGCACGCGAGGCGGCGCAGCTTGAGAACGGCGGTGCCGGTGGGCGAGAAGCCGCCGCCGAAAACGTCTCGTGGAGCAGCAGGTTGAAGTTGTTGCGCTTGACGAAGATCGCGTCGTGGTAGAAATCGCGATGCGCCTTGACGTAGCCGTGGCCGACCTTGCATCTACCTTGCAGCCCGACGCCCACGAGGGGGGAGGGGCGCTGCTGAGAGACGGTGGGAAGGGAAAAGTGAAGGGGCGCGGGCAGCGGGCACGCGGAAGCAGAGTGCGAGTGCAAGTGCGGGGTCTTGGGGGCCGGGGCCGGGGCCGCGGCCGGGGCGGGGGCCGGGGCGTTGTGGGTTGGAGATTGGGTTCTTTTGGGTGAGGTTAGAGACATACATAGAGAGAGAGAGACATGTTTTGTTCTGAAGTTAGTAGGTTGCGTTGAGTTTTACGTGGGGTGAGGTTGGCTGGGTGAGGTAGTTCGCGCGGCGCTCGGGCTCGCGGGTTGTTGCACGAGTATATATTGGGCCACGATGTCTCAAATATGAGGGGTTTTGACTCCTACCGGCTCCTGACGCTATCCCTGGCAGCTCTAATGACCAGAATCAGTAGTGTTGTGATAGAGGGTGCCCATACTAGCGCAGGAGCTGCCACACTCGCCCGGACCGTCCCCTTCTGGGGCCGGTTCCGCAGCCCGCGAGAGCCGACAGCGGGGCCGTGCCGCGGGTGCCTACTGCCAAGTGCCAAAAACACCGCGCCGTCCCGCCATCACCTACAGGCTGTCTTGTGTGATGGCTGGGATGTCCAAACGCCACCATCTTGGCTCTTTTGCGACCTCAAACCCGCGAGCTGCATGGCCATGGGTGGTCCTTGACGTCCACAGACGCCCGGGATGACGCCACGGTGAAGCTGAGCCGGAACGCGTCGACAAGTCTCGTCTGAGCCCGTGGCGGTCGCAAACTCGCGACACGCTTTTGGCCCTAGGCTCGTCGTCGTGCAACATTGCAACAACCCCTCGCCCTCGCCGCGTGGTCGGCCGGCACCCGGACCCACACTGGCCCGCACCGGGCCAGTGCTTGCACTTTGAATGCCGTGGGGCTCCTGCCCGTGTCCGGGCGTGGAGATGCGAGGGTCGCCCCCCCTTGCCCCACCACTTTGTGTGTGTGGAGAAATCTACCTTACCTTACCTTACCTTAGAGCCGTACTGGGCACTGCCTCTGCGCACTGTGCACTCATCCTTTAAGAGCGAATAATTAAAACAGCGAACACTCTCCACCGTGTGCGTGTGCTGGCCTTATGCGCGCGCGCAACTGGGAGGACGCGCCCAACCCACGCGGGCGCGCCGCGGCGGTCCGCCTCACCAGATCGGGTTGGAGCGCTGCAGCTCGTTTGCGTACTGCCCAAACAGCACCTGGCTCGCGGGCACGCCCTCGAGCTTGCCTGGCGGCGCGCCCCAGGTGAAGGCGCGCTCCTCGGGCGGCGGCGGCATCTGGCGCCACTCCGGCACGGCGCGCGGTGCTATCGAGGTGTCGTGGTGCAGCCGACAGAGGTGCCGGCGAGCGACGCGGAAGAGCTCCTCCGACCCCTCCCAGCGAACCACCCAGAGCGCGCCGGCGCCTCCCTCGCTCGCGCAGTCCACGTGGCCCAGCACCATCACAGAAGCACCATTGAGGCGAGAGCACGACGGCAGCGTCAGGTCCTGCGGCGCGCGGGGCGGTCGCTCCGTCACGCGGGCGCCACAGGGGTCATCATCACGCGGGCGCTGCAGTCGGCGGCCTGCAGTCGGCAGCGGTCGCCCGGGTGGAGGGCGACGTCGGACATGCTCGCCGCCCTCCTCGCGGACTCGCTCTGCACGAATCGCCGGCGCCTCTGGCGGCCGACGCCGATGCTGCTCTGAGGAGCAAGAAGAAACCGAACGCCACCGATGTATAAAGGTAAAAACGAATAAGGGAGAGCGATGAGTCAGGGGAAGAGACAGCAGGAGAGAGAACGACGAGAGTGAGAAGAATGCGAGGTGGCATGAAGGTCGCTGCAAGAATTGGTGATAAACTGCGGAGAGAGATAGGAAGTGGTAGACGCCCGAGGGTGGGCGACGGCTAACACCACACTTCTCCCCTAAAATCCCTGTGTGGTGGCGGCGTACCGTCCTCCCATCCCTCCCTTGGGTTGCCTGTTTTCTTTCTTTCTTTTTAAAAACGAATAAACCGGCACCGTTTCGCCCGCATTGCAATCACACCCCAAAACCCCCGTAAGAACCGTAGCGGCGACACGCGCGATCTAGGCCCACATGGACCGCTCGCAGCGCGATGTCACCTGTCAGTCTGCATGGAGCGCGAGGTGCGCAAAGTCGCCCTCGAACTCCTCGCGGTCGCGTTGGCGCGCCGCGCCATCCGGGCCGTAAGAGCCGAGCCTGGCCTGGGCCCGCTCTAGCCAGCCGTAGAGGAGGGGGCGGCAACGCTTGTAGGCCAGAGCGCCGTCCACCGCCTCGTACCAGCGCTGCAGGTCGCGCATGCTTGCGGGCGAGAGGCGGAGGACGGCGGTCTCAGAATCGAAAGCCTCGTCGCTGATCGTGGCAGTGTCTGGCACGGTGACGCTGGTGAGGGAGGAGCAGCGGACGAAGGCGTACTCGCCGATGGAGGTGAGGCTGGCGGGGAGGGCGACGCGGGCGAGGGAGGAGCAGAAGTAGAAGGCGTTATCGCCGATGGAGGTGAGGGTGGCGGGAAAGGTGACGCTGGTGAGGGCAGAGCAGCTGGCGAAGGCGTACTCGCCGATGGAGACGAGGCTGGCAGGGAAGGTGACGCGGGCGAGAGAGGAGCAGCCAGAGAAGGCGTACTCGCCGATGGAGGTGAGGCCGGCGGGGAGGTCGATGGAGGAGAGGGAGGAGCAGAAGTAGAAGGCGTTGTCGCCGATGGAGGTGAGGGTGGCAGGGAAGGCGACGGAGACGAGCGAGGAGCAGCCGGCGAAGGCGGCGTTGCCGATGGAGGTGAGGGTGGCGGGGAGGTCGATGGAGACGAGCGAGGAGCAGCCGGCGAAGGCGTCGAGGCCGATGGAGACGAGGCCGGCAGGGCATGTGATGGAGGCGAGGGAGGAGCAGTGGAGGAAGGCGCGGCTGCCGATGGAGGTGAGGGTGGCGGGGAGGTCGATGGAGACGAGCGAGGAACAGCCGACGAAGGCGCCGTCGCCGACGGAGGTGAGGCTGCGCGGGCAGGCGATCGAGACGAGAGAGGCGCGGCCGCGAAACGCCTCATTCGGAAGGTGCGTCATGCCTTCGGGCAGCACCGCGTGCCCGTCGGCGACGACGACCTGCCAGCCACCCACCTCCAAAGTCACGGAGCCGGGCGGCGGCGCGGTGCCGCTCGGCGGCGGGGAAGAGAAGAGGCGAAGAAGCGTCGAGGCGGGCACCATCGGGAGAGGAAGAGACGAGAGAAGAAAATGAGTCGGAGAAGCCTACGGCCGTCCGGTGAAGCATAAACCGCGGCACCGTTTCGCCCGCATTGCTCTCGATCGGTCGCGATGGACACGCCCAGATCACAGTACGGTCGTGAACGGTACATCGAGGGCGTCTCAACCCTCATTCATCATATCATCTGTTCGGCGCGCGACTCTTGGATGGCGTCGGCCCAGAGGGGTGGTTGAGGGGTTGAGGGTTGAGGCCCCCCCTCAACCATCTGGTTGACGGTTGAGACCCCCCGTCAACCCTTTAGTTGAGGGTTGAGGCCTCCGGGGCCTATTCACAGGCTCGCGCGTGATCACAAACTGGAACAGCCTGCCGCCAAAAAATCGCTTCGCCTGCGGCGCGCTCTTGCGCTCCTCGTACCTCGAGCGCAATCCACAAGTAGGAGACGCTCTCACTGTCGCCATTCAGGCGCCTGATCTTTCAGCAAAGCGATGGCCTACCAGGTACGAGTTCAGATGCGCGCCCGGCAGAAGACGCTTGTGATGCCGCATGCAGTGGAATGCGCACAGAGAACGGACGGCAAGAGAAGGCAAGGGAAGGAAGAGAAACGGCTGGTGAAGCTCAGCTCACGGCGTAGTATTGCGGTCACTAACCACCCACGGCAAGAGTCACGGTGAATGCTGCCGCATAAAAGCAACAGAGTCGCGGTTGGCGCGATGGCGCGATGGTCTTGTCGCGGTTAACGACTTGACGTTGCACACGGCCATAGACGCAGGATCTGTGTTTGGCGAGCCTCAAGCAGCGAAAGGTAAGCAGGCGCGAGGAATAATGTCAATCCTGAGATCTCAATTTTGGCGCTAGTTTCGTTTCCTGGTACATCACGACGACTTGGGTCTCATGTAGCTCGACGGCTCTTCGACGGCTCTTTCTGGTTGGATCAGACAGTGCTCTCAGTCAACAACACAATGCCGAGAGCAGGGCGGCCTTCGAGCAGGCGGCCTTCGAGGCAACTAAGTTCCTGCTGCATTTTGCCACTCAATGTACAACTTGATGGCGGCGGACGTGTCGAGCATGGATCGAGAGCATGGAAGGCGGCCATTGCTCAAACCTGTTCGAGTTGGCCTCCGGGAACAAGGGTGCGTGGCCGGCGCGGTCTGTTTCACGTGCAATAGGGCAACGCCATCAAAATCGCGCGAACATGGGCCGACTCACATGCCTCCGACATTTCTCAGGGCTCGGACGGAAGCTCTGCAGACAGCCAGACCGCCCTGCGCGCACATTAGTGTGCGGTCGGACCGACTTTTTCAGACTTTACTATTCTGGATACTGAGGGTATGTGCTGCTAGATCTCACTGAGCTGAGCTCGTATCTGCCTTTGGTAAGCAGTTTTGAGTTCGGTAATGTCTCCGGAGATGGAGGGCCGCGTCCGCGGACGACCATGACGTCGGCCGGGACCCCCCCCGGCGCGGGGGCCTTCGATGGCTGTCAGCGCTCCTCCGGGCTTTGCATCACACCTCCCATTCACGCACGTAGCCAAGTACTCGTAAAAACGGCGCGTCAAATGCAGCATCCAGGCGTCTAAAGAAGACGACATGAATGGTTCACAGAGAATGTGTTCAGACCTCTTTGCGCGGGTGTGTGTGTGGACAGCCATTCCGCGTGGTTGAGGGGTTGAAGGGGTCTGTCAACCACTTGGTTGAGGGTTGAGGCCTCTGTCAACCACGTGGTTGACAGTTGAGGCAATCGGCCTCAACCACCGCTCTGGGCAGAATGGCGAGAAGGAGAATTCGAGTTCTCCCGATTGCTTTCCCTTCATTTAAAAAGAAATCTGACGCCCGCTACGGACGCGCGCGAGGCCCACGGCCGTCCGGTGTTTCATAAAGCGGCACCGTTTCGCCCGCATTGCTCTCAATCGGTCGCGATGGACACGCCCGGTCTATCGCCGACGAGTGCGTGCGTGGACCCCGGCTCGGCATCTTCCTCGGGCCTGCGGACGACAGAGGGGCCTGAGATCACGGTGGGCGTGCACGGAGGCGAGGCGGCAGCGCTGGTCCCGGCGGGCATCAAGGAGTACGTGCGCCTGCTGGGCGGCTGCAAGCTCAGATGCTGGATCATGCTCATGTGGCTCATCCTCACCCTCTCCGGCCTCTCCGTCTACTTCCCCCTGACGCTCGTGCTCGACATTGCAATTGAGCCTCCGTTCGGCTCCGCATCCGAGCGGGCCAAGGATTTGTACGAGGAGCACTATCCGGCGGGGGAGCCGGTCTTTCTTGCCGCCATGCTCTCCACCACCGCGCCGCACAAGCTCTTCAACACCGACGCACGCCCCTATCCGGTGGGGTATCCGCCTTTCCTCGACTACAACCCTGGAGAGGGGGCAGACCTGATCAAGGAGGCGGAGGGCATTTTCGACGACGTCATTGACGTGCTCAAGCCCTACTTGGAGGAGAACGGCGGCCGCTGCCAGTGGAACATCTACAACTTCTTCAGCTGGGAAGTTCTGGTGCCGCCGTGTGTGTGTGCCTTGGGTCGGCGAGGCACACGAGGGGCGGTGCGCGGTGAAACCGTCGGGCGCCTCGCTGTAGGTGGAGGGCTTTGCTGTCATGATGGCGCCAATCATCTTCCCGCCCGCCCACGAAGGGCGAGAGGGCATGCTCCCGGTGCACTTGGTCTCGTGCGACGGCCGCCCCATCTACAAGGAGTGCGTCTTCAAGCGCGAGCCGTTCTGCGAGCCGATCGAGCAGGTCCTCAAGGACTTGGAGCACTACCGCGCCGACCGCAGCCCCAGCAACATCAGCATGACCTTCGTCTCGCACCCAAGCCGCTCGACGGGCCCTGCTAGTCTCACCGCATCGCCCAGTCGAGAGCGGTTGGCCGTAGGTACCCCATCATCTACGAGGACATCATCCTCGGGATCGAATTCGCGATGCTGCTCTCGACGGCGGCAACGGTGCCGTCGCTGGTCGTGCTCGCCTACATGCTCCGGAATATGCGGCAGCTGCTGCTCGTCGGAGCAAACATCCTGACCGCCATCGGCTCGTCCCTGCTCATCATCTATCCCCTGTCGCACTTCGTCATGGACGTCTGCGTCGTCGCGCCGACGATTGCGATTGCCGTCGCGCTGGCCATGTCGATCGACTATAGCTTGTTCCTGCTCACCCGCTTCAACGAGGAGCAGAGGAGCGGGTCCCCGGTCCCAGAGGCGCTCAGCATTGCGATCGCGACGCAGGGCCACACCATCGTTGTCTCGGGCGCGACGCTCACGCTCTGCTTCACCTCGATGCTCATGCTGCCCTCCTCGACCATCACCTCGATCGCCGCCGGCGCCGCGATCGCTGCGGGCGTGTCCGTCGTCGACTCGCTGTCGCTCACGCCGTCATTGCTCCTGTCAATGCCGCGCTTCTTCACCGCGGACCGGCGGTTTGGCCTCACCCTCGACGACACTCCGCTCGACTGCAGGCGCCGTCCGGTGGACGGCGACGACGCCGCGCCCGACGTCAGCGCTGCAGAGCACGGGGGGAAGCTGGGCGTTTGGGGGCGGCTCGGCCAGTACTCGCAACGGAGCGCGTTGGTGACCGCGCTTCTCCTCGCCGCCGTGGCCCTCCCCTTTGGCCTCGCGCTCTCGCGGTACACCTACGTGGTGGACATCAAGCCGCTGCTGCAGTCGGACCACCCCGCGACCGACGCCTACATCATGTTCACCGAGATCTACCCGCAGTCGATGTCCACGCCCGTCGAGCTGCTCTTCTTGCCCCCCAACGCGGGCGACATGGACTCGTCGGAGTGGAAGCTGGCGTCGTGCCACATGCTCAAGGACCTGGCGGACAGGGTGACGGAGGTCATGAGGGCGGAGGGCCATGACTATGCGATGTCGGCCAGCGACTTTGTGGGCATGATGATGATCCTGGGCCACTGCGTGGAGGAGGGCGTGTACATCGACGGCATTCCTTTGCTCAACATGATGCCAATCCTCGAGCAGATCGGAGTGTACGACACGGGCTACAGCATCGCCACCAACGCGGATAAGACTGCCACTTATGTCTACGTCATCTGCCAGGTGGACGTGTTTTCGGAAGTGGGCGAGGCGTGGATGCGCGCTCTCCGCGCGGCGTTGCCAGACTCAAACCCCGCCACCTGGGATGGCGTCGATCTGGGCGAGCTGCACCTCTACGGTCCGCTGTCCCCGCTCCCAGGCTGCCCTCTCTAGCGGTATAGCTGGCGGCTCACCACGACAGGGCGAGCGTTCTCAGGCGTGCCTCTCGACCAAATGGACGGCGCCGAGTTCACGACGCAGCGCATGGTGTGGGTGGTCCTCGCAATCACACTCATCATGTGGATGATCCTCGGCGGGTCGTTCGGGTCGCTCCTCATCCCGATGCGCGCGGTGATCTGCATCGGCTGGATGATTGCCGTCACGTTCGGTCCGCTCCCGCCTCCGTGAGCCACAGCACGCACCGGCCGGCTTGAGAGACGAGCTCCCGGCCCGCAGGCGCCGCGGTGGCAGTCTACCAGCTGGGCTTCCTCAGCTTCCTCGGCATCTCGTCGCTGAAGCCGTCGGCCGGCTCGGTGTTCCCGCTCCTGCCACACCCCCTCTGCGGCGGATGGCGGCCCGAGGTGCGCCCTCGGTGACCCTCGGTAGGCGATGTTTTGGGTCGCGCTGCCCATCACGGGGCCCATTCTCGTGGGGCTCGGCCTCGACTACGACATCTTCCTTATGGACTCCGTGATGGAGAATTGGCTGTGTGGCAAGCGGCCCAAGGAGGCGGTGGTCGCTTCCCTCGAGCAGGCTGGCGCCGCCCCGCCTCGCCCGCGCGAGAGAGGCGCACGAGACCGCACGCGCCCTCTCCTTGCAGGCGGGCACAATCATCTCGGCGGCTGGCATCGTCATGTTCTTCGCCTTTGGCGCGCTCCTCGTCTCTCCCACGCCGGTTCTCAACCAGGTGGGTTTCATGCTGTGCGTTGGCGTGCTGATTGACTGCTTCGTCACCACCAAAATAACTATCCCCACGTTGATGGCGCTTGTTCCTGGCAACGCCAACTTTTGGCCGCGGGCTCAACGGGAAGAGCCATCGTCGTCGGGAGCCAGAGCGGCCCAGAGTCCTCCAAGGCAAACGCTTCGAAAATCGCTGTCGTGGACCGCACCTCGGTCGGTGAGGTCGGTGAGGTCGGATCCAAACTCGCCGTCGAATGGGGGGAGCGGGACGAGCAAGAGGGAGCGTGAGGTTGGGGGAAGTTCCTGACTCATTCTCTGTCTGGGTGCATGCGAGTGAGATGCGTATTCAACTGCCTGAAACCGACATATCACCACAGGTTTTAGGGGCACACACAAAAAGAACCCTGCGTGCACAAACACCGCGCTCACCCACGCGCAACCGTGGCCTTGCACTTTGAATGCCGTGGGGCTCCTGTCGTTAGACGTGGAGACGCGAGGGTTGGCGGTTGCCCCCCCCTTGCCCCACCACCTCGTGTGTGTGGAGAAGTTTACCTTACCTTACCTTACCTGTGCACAAAGATCGTGCAGGCGAGGGGCGCGCGGCGCGGCCGCGGGCGGCGGGATCTGTTCCTTTTTACCCATCTCCTAGTAGAGGTGTCCGTTTTGTTTATTTATTTACACTACCGCACAGACACAGCTCACAGGTAGGTCCACACCGGTGTACTCTACGTACTACACGGGACGAGCGGCCGTCAGAAAGATCACACAGCAGTATACGGTCGTGAACGGTACATCGAGGGCGTCTCAACCCTCATCCATCATATCATCTGTTCATCTCCCCATTTTCTCCGATGCGGCCGAACCGTCCCTCAGATACCGAGGGCCTCGCAACCTGTATACCACCATCGTACGCTACTAGTAAGGGTCGGCCGGGGCCAGCTAGGACCGGCGACCTGCGCTGCGATGCATGGACGAGCGCCTCGTCCCTGCTCGTTGCTGCAGCCGCGGAGTGCGGTCAACTAATTTTCAGCGCCTCTACGGCGCCTTCCGGGTGGACTAGATCTGTCCCGCTTTCGCTTGCTTGAGTTTGCGGGAAATGGAGCGCGACCGCGCCTGCAAGAGGGGGGGGGGTGCGTGAGCGCGTGCCAGGCCGCGTGCGCTCCGGGGGACGCTCGGGCAGGGAGAGCAGACGCTCGAGTCGTCGATCCTGAAGCACCGACGGCACGCTCCCGGCCCCCCTCCCCAAAGGCCCAATGCCCAAGCTCTGGCGTGGCGACGCACCTGCCGCTTCCTTGCCAGCTGGTCGCCCGCGGGGCGGCGTTCGGCCGTCGCAGGGTCGAAGCCCTCGACCGCCGCGAGCACAGCGTCCAGCATGCCCCGGGGAGGTGGGCTCGGACGGCATCGGTGGCTGTCGGAAGGCTGGCTCGACAGCGTCATGACCAGACTGGCGGCGCGGGCGGCGTCATCCAGCAAGACCGCCCTGTCGCCGCCGGCACCTGCCGCATCTGCGTGCGGCTGTTTGGCGCCACCGCCGAGGTGGCCCGAGATCACGCGGGATCGCGCGAGAGGGCTTTCGCCGCCCGCCGTGCTGGCTGGAGCGACGCACGCGCCATTCTCCATGTCGCCGGCCAGCGGCGCGTGGCCGGCCGAGAGCGGCAGCGGCATCAGCTGCAGCGGTGGCGCCTGCAGCGGTGGCGCCTGCAGCGACGCCGTCGCGTTGTCGGCCGAGAGCGGCAGTGGCAAGCAGAGCGGCATCATCTGCGGCTGCGGGTCGAGCGACTCCGAAGAGGTGGGGCGCAGCGGCGAGAAGGTCGGCGTGCTCGGCGTGTCGAGCCGGAGCAGCGACGGGGGGCTGTCGGACGGGGGGTGGGAGAGGGACGAGCCCGCCTCGGCGCCTGGCTTTGGTGGCCTCGGACGCCTTGTTGCCTTGTTGGCTTTGGTGGCCTCGGACGCCTTGTAAGGTTTGTAGAGCCACCACAGCGTCCGCCCCCCCGCGGCCATGACGGCCGCTCGGCTGCTCGGCTCCATGCAGAGGTGCCACAGCACCGAAGACGCCTCGCCTAGCGTCTCTGCGCTGGAGTTCGAAAAGAAGAGCTGCATCAGAGGGCCGACGACGCCAGCAGCGACGAGGGACCGCGCGTTGGCGTGGTCCATCGAGAGCTGGCGCAGCGCCTTGACGCTCGCAAGGCGCGACGCCTCGGACGGGCTCGTGCGGAGCAGGGCGATGAGGGGCGGCGCGGCGTTCTCGGCCGCCAGCAGGTCCCGGTTTTCAGAGTGGTCGTACGCCAGCAGATGGAGCGCTGTCGCCGCCACCCGCTTGGTGTGGTCGGGGCTGCTCCTCGTCGAGAGCAGGACGACGAACGCGTGCAAGCCGCCCGTGGCGCTTATCTCGGCCTTGTTGGCGGGGTGCGCCGCCAGCGCAAGCAGTGCCACAGCCGCGATGTGGCGGGTCTGTCCCCCGCCTCGATCCATCAGCTGCACAAGTGGTGCCGTGCCACCCGCCGCCGCGATCCCCAGCGCTCCCACCTCGTCGCGCGCCTCGAGAGCCGCGGCCGTCGCCGCGTCCTCCGCACCAGGCCCTCTTGGCGCGGCGGCGGCGATGTGGAGTTGCAACGTGACTCCTCCAAACAGGTCGCACAGCCACTCATGCACCAGGTGGCGGAGAGTGTGGTCCGGTGTGGGAAGCAGCGAGTACGGCCGCCAATTTGACCGGCCGTACAAGCCGTGCAGACTGAAGGAGCGATCGCCCAGCTTCACCTACGAGGCACAGGGAGTGCGCTTCGGCCAGTGGTTTCGGCTTTGCCGAGCGGTGTTTCGACACCGAGATCGTGTTTATTGCGCGCACCGCATCGTGCATCAGCCTGGCAGACAGCGGACAGACAAATGCGTGGGGAATGTCCTTGCGAGGCAGGCCGTGCTGCGCCCTGGGCACTGATGGCTGCTGCATCATGCACGCATACTAGTATGCTTGCGGCCGACGGCAGGCCACACCTGAGGGTCGTTCCCCCCTGGGACAGAGAGGTTCGTTCTCCGCCGGACGGAAACAATTTTTCTCTCTCTCTCTCAGTGTATGTAGCTCTTACACCTCTCCTTAAAATCCCTGTGTGGTGGCGGCGTGCCGTCCTCCCATCCCTCCCTTGGGTTGGCTGTTTTCTTTCCTTTTTTGTTTTCTTTTTTTAGCTCTTACGTACAGAAAGAAAGAAAGAAAGACGTAGTATATTCCCACGCACTTAAAT